TCAATATGCATATCAACATTGCTCCTAAAATCGCTAATATCTTTGCGCTATCATTCTTGCGAAAATATCAGTAAGAAAAAATTTTTGAAATGAAATTTTTTTTTGTGCAGTATAAAATGACAAATCTAAAATTCCATGAATGAGACATTCTTTGGAAGCCTAATTCCTGGCAGTTTATATTAATTATTGCACAATTCCGAGCTGAACAGTATTTTTTCAAATTACATGGATGGTTAATTTCTTCTTCGTAAATAAAATTATTCGATAAGCATTATTAAAATATTGGGATGCAACATGAAGTACATTCAGCATTGATAACTAATTATTAATCTATAATTAGCTAAATCATGGAGCAGCTTCTATGTAGATTGCTTATCAGGCATTACAAAAGTGGATTAAGCTATCACTGCTGCCAGTATTACAAATTTTTCCCGGGAAAAATTGATAAATTAAGTCAAGTGCGTGTTTATTTGATGATTTGATGATTTCAGAAAATTTTTACATCGACGAAATGACTCTAATCCTTCATTTTTGATGTTTCAAAATTGCATATTGGTAAAAAGTAATTGAAAATGGCAAGAACAGCAGAAGAAACATGCCTTCGGCTTAATTTATTAGTTCCAGAAAAAAAAAAAAAAAACTATAATATTGGTGGCATCGATAGCTTAATCCACTTTTATAATGCCATGATAAACAATCTACATAGATTTTCTGATTGCACGAGAATAATTAAATAATCAGTATTCAATGAAAGAATGTAAATATTGAATTAAAAAAAGAAAAATGTGTATTACGATTTATAAAATGTTCAAGGTAAATAGAGTACAAAATCTAACACAATGAATTTTTGAAAAAACCATAAATTACACATATTTTTAATTAAAAATAATTGGAAAAAAAGCTAAACAGAAGAATCCTATATTGGTATTTGCTCATGTATTAATGGATCATTTCGATCATATCGTGTTATTTTAATTGGTTCTTCTATCAATATCTGAAAATGAAATATGAATATGATGTTCGAAATTGAAATATGAATATGATGTTCGAAATTGAAATATGAATATGATATTTGCAAAAAAAAAAAAGAAAATAAAATATGAGTATGACATTTGCAAATTAAAGTTCGAAATTGGAATTTTTGCATTTGAAATATACAGTTCTAGTTCAAGAAGAGCAAAAATTTACATTAAAATTACTGTAAAAAATGAAACAGAATTTTTGAAATAATAAAATTGCAAAAAAAGCTAAAATTTAGAAATGAACACCATTCACTAATATAAATTCCCTGTTAACTAATAAGTTCAAAAATTCTAATTTCAAACTTTAATTTGTACGCTAAATTTTTCTTAAAATGTAGTATCCAAATGAAAAAAAAAAAGAGCAACAAATATCTTTAGAATTTTACCGTGCCTAATTTTCGATTTCGTTCAGAAATTATCTCCTTATCGCTTAGCTCATCGTTTAAATTCACCATTGATCGAATCGTATTGCTGGAGATTACTTCAGCAGTGAAAAAAATTTTATCGCGAGATTTCAAATAATCCAAAGATGCATATGGATCCATTACAATTCTAAATTTCAAATATTTTTCAAAATTATAAATTAATTATAAAACTACGAGAAGTAAAATAGAGGATAAATGAAGAACGAAACTTTTTGATTTTGTCTTAAACACAGTAATATTCATTCTTTTTCCAAACTGATATTAAATGATAATCACTTACACGTATTTTTAATTTTATCGTTTGCTCACCTAATTTTAGGCATTTTAACAAGCTTACGCAGACCAGCCTGAACATCAAGTAATACATCCGAATCCATGGGTAAATTTTCATCAGTTTCCTCTTCGATATTTCTTTCGCTATCCTAGAAAATGGATTTAGAAGTATGAAAGTAAATTTTGGGATATTAGAATTTTTCATGATCAGAGGAATTCAAATTTTCAGCATACCTTTTGTACTTTACTTAATTTATTCCAAAATGGTAAACCATCTTCGTCGAATAGCTTTCCTGCATTATTTTTGTTTGACACTCTTGAAATTGGTATCTAAGATATGAAAATTTTCATTTTATATTTTAAGTTACAGATTAATCGAGGGTGTCTTTCTTTTGTTGAAGAACTAAATTAAATTGAAGTCATTAAAATAACACTTTTATATGGTAAAGCATCAAATCTGGTTTCAAACCTGTCGTTAAATTTAGGGCTGTATTTGATATCAAAAATTTAATGCTTCTTGAGTTTTTTTTTTTTCGTTTATAAAATTTGTTTTCATATTTTCACAAAAATTTTTGTTCACATTTTCAGGAAAAAATTTTATGCTAGATATTTTGGTGATATTATTTGAATGAACCTTTGGCGAAGTAATTTTGTCATTATCCTCTCTCATTTCTGATTCATACCTAAAAATTTTGATCATGTATTTAAAATAACCTTTTCTCAAAATCTTCAAAATAAATGGAATTTTTCATTCGGTCAATTATCAAAAAAGCTCATTGCAAAATTGATGCCTTTTTTATCGGTTTTTATCAGCACACGTTCATATTTGATATGAGTGATAAATAAATGTCACATCACTTTTATATCACATGCAAAAACAACAATTTTATGTGTTAGTTTATCTATGATTTTTTATTAAAACTACTGAAAAAAAAAATACTTTTCAACTCGATAGTTAAATGGAAATTTTTCGTCTGCACTTCGTAATGGTATTTCTGGCACTTTCTAAAAAGAATGAGATAAAAATTATCCTTCTAAACTTAACAGTACGAAATTCTAATTTTGGGGGAAAGCAGTAAAATAAAAAAAAAAAAAATTAATCGACTAATTTTATCACTCTATTAACTAATCTTTCATATTCCTGCAATTAAACTAATTTGCTCGGATAAAAATCAAATGCACTATAATTTCATTCTCATTTCTATGAATATATTTGCAGGAAAAAAAGAAATTTCAATACCGCTTTGAAAGTGCTGCCTTTCCGTATTTCATTCCGTTTTTTAATTTTCTCAACAAACTTTTGCACTGTCACATCACGCATAGAGCGGCTAAAGAATGCTTTCATCCTTTTTCGAGCACCTCAAAATATTTTATCAAATGAATTAAATTAAAAACAACGTGTACATTTGAAATTAATATGGGTATGTTGAAATTTGCTTAAAATTTTTGCAATAAAATGCAAGAATCAAATTTTATAAATAAGCTTCTTTCTTGATCATACCACGATATGTAAATTTAATCCTTACCTGGAAAAAAGAGGCTTTGAAATCAGAAAATAATTACTTTTCAAACTTTGCCGACTTAATGAAGACGGTGACCGTCCCGGAATTTCACGCAATGATCGTAGTGTTTTACGTAAACTTCTGCAAATGATAACTAATGATAAGGTATGGGAAAGATAGATTGTCTAATTTTTGAAAAAATTTCAGCGGAATGAAATTAATTATTATTGTGAAAATTAAAAAAGTAAAAATGTTACCAATATAACTATCAAAAATTAATAGCTACATTGATAACATTTTTGTTTTTAACTATCAAAAGTTAACAGTTCATATTGTCTGATAAAATTTCAAGAGTACTTATTTTCAACTAACTAACACTCTCATATCAATATTGAGATTTTGTAAATAAGAAAAATTGAAAGGGGAATAAAATGAGGTGGAAAAACGAAAGCGAAATGTAACAAAAATTGTTGAAAGTTGAAAGATGTAAATGTGCAAATGTTTGAAATTGAATATGTATTATACGTATGGTACAATGATGAAGTTTTAATTTCTCGAGAAATAAACGGAATAAATTTAAATAATGCACTTGACTGCTATGTTTTCATTTTGTTTGCTTCGATATTTTTTGACCATAGCAGCTTCTGCTTTTCCACAAATCGCCGGGCTGCTGATCGTTGAATGAATTTTCTTCGATGGCGCTTTTGTCGATTTGTGCAATTTAGTTTTTCTGAAATCTCTCCTCATTCCAACCTTTCTACATCACTATCTTCTTATTCGATTAGAATTTTGAAAATTCAAATCATGCAAACTTTCCAGATGTCACAATTCAATAAATAACTTTTCCAGAAAGATTAAATGATGCTGTGTGAGTAAATTTTCCACGAGCACTTACATTATCATACAACATTTTAAAGTTATTTAAAATCAGTGCAAATTTCATAAATGTGCTTTTGTCCTCTTCTTAATTAATTTGCAAGAATTTATTTGATAAATGAGTAATCAAAATAGTAAAAACAGGACTAATTAATTCATAAAAGTGATATTTCTGGAACATTTAGCCAAATATTTATAGCTTAATATTGTCTGTAATTATTAGTATTGAGAAAAAAATATTGGTATTATCTCATACTTAATTAATAAATTATACGTAAATATGTAAAAAAAAAATAATAGTTAAAGGATTATAAAACCTTGGTTGCTTCGCTGATTTTAAGATTGCTCCGGAAATTTTACTTGAATGTCGCTTAATTCTTTCTTAAAATTTAACTTTTTTCTTCGAAATTAGAATAGTTAGAATAAATATTCAAATGCTAAAATAATTTCATCTGCTTTTAAAAAAAAATGAAACTAATTTGTAACGGTAATTTAATGCAGTAAAAAAGCGAAATATTCTCCATAAGGTAATTCATATGCAAAAAATTATTTTAAAATATTAGCATACCTGTTTCATCTGAACTTTTTGCTTTTTTTTGCAATTTTTCTCTTTCATTGTTATTTCTCGTTTCACCACTATTTTCCTTTCGATGATGCATTAAATGGCTGCCGTGTTTTCGACGTGATCGGTGTGATTTGCAATTTTTATTTTCTGCACGTTTTCTATTTCGAAAGAAACGTTCTCCTAATTTTGATAAATATGATTTCTTTGCCGTTCATAAAAAAATTAGCTAAATGTTTTCTCAAAATTTATTCAGAATTATCACCATGTCCAAAAAAATAGTTCTCATTCAAAAGCAATTTTTAAAAAATTTTCTATGCTTTTAAAACTTTGAAAAGTTTAAAAGTAAATTTTTTCATTTTGGTCGGAATAGCAAAAATAGTTCTTAAACTTTACGTGAAATATGTGAACTTTTAATTGAATAAAATTGTTTAAAATACCTGAAATTATCGTATTGGTGTTTTTTTTATGTTTACGATGTTTACTTCCCAATAATCCCATATTACTGTAATATAATTTAACAAATCAAAATATTTTGGTATTTTTTCATAAATTCAATTCTTTTCAGAAAAATTAAACATTCAACCATCGTTGAAGTACCAGTGAAAAATGGCATAGCTAACCGATTAGCAAAAATGAATGAACGGAGTGAAATTTGAATCAAAAACTTTATATATCCTTATTATTATAAATTTCACACAAATTTGCATAAATTGCAATATTTTAAATCAAATTCTTTTAAAAGGATTTATAATAAATTCTAGCAATACATCATTAATGAGTGTATTAATTATTTAAAATGAGAAATAATTAAAGAGATGATATAATCGAACTTACAAAATTAAGTTGTCCCAAATTTCCCTTGAATATTTTTTTTTTTTTTTGCATTTATATATCAAAATTTTCTCGACTTTATTAAAGAACTTTTAGTCAGTGAATTTTTCGTTACAATTTATTGCAAATGATAGAAAAAAAAATATGATTTTCTATTCTTTGGAATAAATTTCAGACTAATAATAGCAATGAATCAGACAGACATTAGAAATCGTGTTGGGAGAGTTTGGTGAGGAAAATTTGGGAATGCTAATTAAAGGTTTGAATTTATAAATGTGGTAAATGAATAAATTCCTACTACATAACCAAATGAAATTCTTTTGTCAGTATTTGAAAATTTTTTTGTAAAAACTTCAAGTAGTATTTTTGAAAGTTTTCGAAATTGTTGTATATCATCTATTGATGAAATCAGTACTTCGTCATGCAACAAAGAAAATCCAAAATAGTTCCATTTACTTTTTGAGCACCATTTAGCATTCGTGCAAAAATGTTCCTTTATAATCTTTCAAATATGATTTCTTTATTTAATTCCTGCAAATTATAAGATTAAATGCATGAATACTAAATGGTGATCAAAAATCTTTTAAATAGTCTCATTTAATATTTTATAATTGAAGGATAAAATGTAAATGCAAAATTTATTAATTATTACGTTGCAAATTTGAATCAAAAGTTAAAATTTGAATTTAATTTACATAATTCAGAATGATTAAAAACAGTCGTATTTTCTCAGACCATTATCATTATTGGTATTTCGACAAACAGAAGTGGTTGGCAGCAATGAAAACGGATGAAGCTGATATTCGTTCCGAGACGCACGTTGCGCTTACCGAGTACGTCTTCCGTATTTGTATCATTTGGGAAATGTTTCACGTCTAAAATACAGTAAAATAGGTCATGGTAATATTATTTAATTGTATACACTCTATACAATTAATCAGCTTGATTTGAAAATATCATAATTTTAAGATTACATTAATTATGTAGCTATTAAATTGACATATTTTTTAAAAGCATTAATATTATAATTCACCATTCAAATTACCACCATTTTTTGAATTTGTTGATTATCAAACAAAGTGTTTTAGAAATCATAAGTTAGTTTACCTATTTATTGTTTAAAAATAAAAATAATGAGCAGAAAAATAGCAACTTAGTTGTACTCGAGAAAAAAAAAACCAAAGATAAAATACGAATAAAACAGATGTTCAAAATTAAGGCTTGAGATTGATATCGTAATATGTTATCAGCAACAACTATTTTTATAATCTTTTCATAATTCATATCATTTTGTAATCAAATTAAAAAGTGTCGTTGCAATTATTTATTGTGAAAATTTATATTATAATCTTCTTTTAAACTCACCATCAGCTATTATCAGTAAATAAAGTTACAGTGATATGACAGATCATATAAGTAGTACTTGCTCCAGCATACCATCAAATAATATCATCTTACGTACCAGACGTCGTAATTATCTGATTAAAACAGAGAATTTTGCAAAATGTTCAGAAAAAATCGCCCTGGTAATTTTTCATTTTTGATAGAATATTTCTAAAAGACAATTTTATGCTACAAAAACTTTATTCATCCTTTTTCAAAGTCAAATTTACTTCACCTGCAATTATTTTTTTTTTCGTAAAACTAGAAATTACACATCTATTTTTTTTTTTGTATATTTTTATTTTCATTTTTTTTTGAATGCAATATGGCACAATTTTAAATTTTTACCTATCAAGGATTCCTATAAATAAATGTTGTAAATTCTCGAAAGGTTAACAGCACGACATTTGCAGTAAAAATATATTAATCTTATTTTGAAATAGAGATTATAAATTATTTTTAGTTGGTGAAACATGGAAAAGTACCACCAGCAATTGATCTATCTTGTTATAATATTGACGCTGTACGTACATTGACCGATTTTGTTGCTGGCGTCGATAAGCGTAATTTACGTCTGGGTGATAATATTCTCACCGATTTACTTCAACTTGCGCGTATCTTTCGTATGAATCAATTTACCTCTTTAATTGTTGAGGTTTGTTGAAAATTATGTAGTTTTATGATAAAACAAAAAAATAAATAAATAAATAAACAAGAAAATGATCCATTTGTGCATAATTAATTAACGATTAATGAATGTGTAATTTTTAACTCCAACGCTTGCTTTAGTATTTCATATTTTATGTTTAAGTTTAAAATTTGAAGAACAGAGAGAAAAAAAATCAGCTCACAACATTCAGCATGTGATCGAAAAAGTAGAAAAAGGGCCACAATCGAATCTTTTATTAGCCCTAAATTTGATATCATCGGATTGGAGCATGTTTTTGCGCGTTAATGAAGCATCAGCACTTGTGGAATCTGCCGCTGAGAATATTGGTGAAGTGAAAATGTCAACTTTTTTCTACATTCTTCCTGCAGCGGTACTTGTTATGCTTTATAGCAGGTACAATGCTTTAATAATGAATTGACCACAATCAATTTGATTTCTCATTTTGTAACTTATCTCAATGAAACGTAAGCTTTTAATCTCTCACTCTCTCAGTCTCTCCCTCTTTCTCTCTCTCTCTCTCTCTCTCTCTGTGCTATTTTATCTTTATTACTCTGAAAATTTAGCTTGCTTACAATCATCTATTAGCAACTAATAGCATAGTTTGTTAATTTTCATTATTTTTTCAATTGATACTTCATCATCAACAAAACACCAAACATTGCAACTGATACAATTTTTTCTGAGCAAAAAAAGAAAAAGCGAAAAAACAATGTTTTGAAATTTTCCTCAAAAAATTAGAAATTCAAAAAAAAAAAAAATATAAATTCAAAAATTTACCAATATTATGTGGTTTACAACAATGAAGATGTGACGTGGATATATCATCTGAACTAGAGCTAAGTCAATGTTTAATTCATTGGCTCAAGAAAACGATCCGAACAGATAGTGAAGCTGAAATTCTCTTCTCATGCATTCGGACACCATTTCTGTCATCAAAAGATCGTGAAATTATTCGAGAAAAATGCAATGGATTACCAAAAAGTGTAAACAATTTATTTGCTTTTTTTTTTGCATAATTATTTCATTCGTTCGATTTGCACAATTCTCTATTCCTCTCCACAACATTCTATGTTAACTGAAAATATAATTATCAAATATTAATTATCATATATTAAAAATATAATTATCAAATACTAGCAAGATTATACATCATTAGCTGATTATCAGTGATAAGTTACATAGCATTCAGATAGTTTGATTAAAATTGAAAAGACAGTTACCACGATGGACTTAACTATTCTGTTCAATCGGGGTAATCCACAGCTATCAAAAAATTGAATTCATCAAAATTTAGTAATTTTGATGCATTTATTAAATGGAACGGTTGATCTACACTTTGATATTATCATATCTTATCGCTTTATTTTTCTACGTCATCATATCACCTTATTTTTCCACGTCATATTCACCACATATTTCGCTGATGCAAGTAAATGGTAGTTTTAACTTGAATTTGAGTGAATAGTTTCAAAAAAAAAAGTATCAGATATAAACAAGAAATAATTCCTAACTAATATCTTAAATCATTTTCAAATATCAAATCCTGCTCTGGAAAGATTATCTTGTTCAAATGACTCAAAAAGTCTTGATTGAATTAATGCAAATGTATAGCATCATCATTTTCAATTAAAATAAAGAAGTGCCGAAATTCAGATGATAAATGCAATCGAGAATACGCTAAACTCACCACGTAATCATCGCTGTTGCGTAATTCGTGAGCATGTTGAACGTCATTATCCACGTTGTGGTATACCAGACAATAATAGCTATTTTAAAATTAATACCATCGACGTAACGATTAAACCGATGAAGGATAAAAATAAAAAGTAAACGATTTCGTAATTTTCCAAAATAAATATCTTCAACGAAGCTTTTTAATTACCTACATTGTAACTGATATGAAGTCCTTTAATCACCTATAACTGATATAAAGCTTTTAATTGTCTATATTGTAACTGATATGAAACTCTTGAATTACTTACATTGTAATGAATATGTTCCTTAATTAATTACCTGTATTGCATCAATCTTATTTACTTACCTTCGGTAAAATTTGTTTTCATCATCTTGAAAGAATGGAAGATATCAATTTACACGAAGCAAAATATAAGCTGATAAATTGAATTAGCATTTTAATTACTCCTTATTAATGCTTAATTACTCCCAATATCTACTTTATGCAAATGTGCATCAAACATATATCAGGCGGCATACTTTGAATAAACTTAGCTCACTTTAGCATATATTTTTAATCAATTAAATTGAAGAGATATCTTTTAAAAAAAGAAATTTTATTTAGGGATGAAAAAATTTCGCTACCTTCAAAACATTTGGAAGAGGATCTCTCGACAGCCCGTAAAAGTAATAGCCATTCGACACGTTCAGACAAAAGTAAATTTTTTACTTTAAACTTAAAATTATTAATATCTTTTTCCTTTTCATGCTAACAATTTAATTCTGAAAATTTTAGCAAAATTTTTAGTTATTTTTTCTTAATAGTCTATTTCAAGTCCAAGTTTACATAATTTTTAAAAAGAAAAATAGATTGATTTTTTGATTTATCATACGTCATCTTTTCATTAAAGAGAGAAAAGTTCATGAGTAAATATTTTATAGAAATATAGAATTTTTTCTTGGACCTTTAGAATGAATGAGATATTAAAGTTAATGAAGTTAATCAGTAGAAGATTTTTTTCAGAAATCGTTCTAAAATGAAGTAATGCACGAAACTGATAGTTAATTAAATTTCGAACAAAATAGATGAGATAGTGAAAATCTTTTAACAACCATAAATGTAATGATGAAAAAATTTAGGCTTAATGTTTTAAATGTAGCAATTAAATTTGGATGTATCCTCATTTGTATACGACAAAAAATTTGACAACATTTATTCCATACATTAAATTTTTGATTTTAGATTTTAAACATTAACTTTACATTCCTCTTTCATACAGCAATAATTTCTGCATATGAAAAATTTTAATGATTATTTAAAGAGATCTAAGAGAAAATTTGTAGCTGATGATGATAGTACCAAATTCAAACGAAAACGACAATCCAGAAAGGATAAGAAATATCGCACAAGTTAAAGTTCACCTGAGTAACCTGATAGATTTTGCTAATATTTAAAAAATATCATTTGATCCATGCAGAAACATACCATTAATCGATCACTTAAGCAAACTTATTATGCAATCGTCATTACTTTTTACAATTAAGGATTAATCAAATTTTGATTTACAAATTGAAAAAATTAAACCAAAACTACCTATGCTATCTTCTCACTTCTGCATAAATTACATCATTCACCATTTGTATGCTATCAAACATCAATCCATTGTTTATATATGATTTATCAAAATTAATCCGAAAAAAGTAATAGCCATTCGACACGCTCAGACAAAAGTAAATTTACTTTAAATTTAAAATTATTAATAGCTTTTCCCTTTTTTTTTGATGAGCTTTTTGCTAGCATTATCTTTTTCTGGAAAGAAAGCAAAGAATTACTTCTATTAGTGAAATTCTTACTTCTATCAGATACTTCATGCTGCATTCAGAAACATTATCATCTTATACTTCATAACGAACTTCAAGAACCTAATTTTTGTACAATAATTTAAACTTTAGACTAATTAATAAATTTACATATTTTGAATGGCAAATACATCAAACAAAAATATTATACATCAACATTTGTACAAATCAAAATTCTAGCATTGTTCGAGCTTGGTAATAAAATATCTGTGGTATTTTTCAGCGAGTTTATCACAATCGTAGAAACCCATTTTTTTATTTTCCTATCAAGACTAGCTAGTTCGAAGTTTTTATTAGGCGATAATTGTGCAGTAGTAGTAGTAGTAGAGTAATATGGTAGTACTAGGATAATTTCAAAATTCTGTAAGAAAAATCCAAAAGAATTTTTCGAATATATCTCTGATCATATATTTTGTAAAAGTTACTAAATTAAGCAAATATATTAACAATTACTCGAAATGAACAAATATACACAAAAAGAAATTTCCAAATATAACAGAGTGTACTGCATAAGTATATGTAATAAAAATGCGACATGAAATTTTGTGGTGTTGCTTGTAAATTTATAAATTTAACCAGTTTGAACACTTAAAAATTTTATAATTGCAAAAAAAAAACATGAGAAAACTGTAAAACATAATGATCTTGAAATTTGCATGTATTGTAGAACAGAAAAAAATAAAAGGATAAATTCACCTCAAAATTAATTTTTTTTGTAATGATAAGCAAAACTTTATAAAACATTAATAAAAATAGTGGAAAAGGCAAACATTTAATCAAATGTATTCATTATCAAACCTATTTTATTCTCAGTTAATCGTTATGCTAATGGTTGTTAAACAAAAGAGAAATAAAATCATATTGCATACTATGTCATTTCACGATAAGTACATGCTACATTTTTTTTACCAGATGTTACTACAGTTAATTAGTAATCAAAAATACGAACAAAAGAATTATATGCAGTGTATATTTCTTATGAAGTCTGTAAAGTTCAAATGACATGTGAAAGAATTCATAAATTCTTTCATGTTTAAGGATATACATCTCTACGATATATGTTCAATTTTTTTTTGCTTTCTCGGCTAATTCCGTTGCCAACTCTTCATCAATTTCTTCTAGGAAAGTTTCCTGCTTAAGTCCACTATATGTGTATAGATAAACACCTGCTGCCAAACCAAACAGCACAAAAAATGTAGCCAAATTCTGCAAAATGAAAGCGAAAAAATAATGAATTAAAAATAACGAATTGAATTAGTTACAAAATTTAGCCTCAATTTTTTTTATCCCTCCACCAGTACAAAAAATTTGATAAGTAACGATTACAAATGAAGAACAAAATATAATGACAATTCGATACCACTCATTAAAATTAAAGAGAGAATAAATCTCGACCTTAATAGTAAGAAATAGACCTCTAATTTAATCATATTAAATTGAAACGTACCCTCATTCAATGGAATTAAATAACCTCTATAATTCATCAAGATTACTTATTACTAACCTTATAATTCAATCTTTTCATAGCAACTGCTCTTGTTTCAGTCATTTTTAAAAATTCTTCCACATGTCTCTTCTCCGCTCTCGGTAAAGTCTTGATATCGACTTCCTAAAAATACTAACTGAGAAAAGTAAAAACTTTATCAACCTCACAAGAATCATACTAATCTCTGGCGGATCATTCATTTTTTTTTTCATTTTTATTTTGAATTACTAGCAGCGTCCCATCATTCTTATAACAAGTTAATCGAGAAATGTTCCATTGGCCATAAATTCACTTTATTAAAATAATTTTCTTCTTCAGTTTTTTATTGTATTTCGCCAAAATTAAGTTTATTAATTTTTAGCCATCAAAGCATATTTATTATGTTGACATGAATAAAGAAACCTGAAGCATTGTTGGATCTTTTCTTTCTTGTAATTCACCATCTTTTGGTTTCGATATTTCTGTTGACGTTGTTTCAACAAATTTTGTTGAATAATACCGCCTTAGCCTTAAATTATCTGCACGAAACATACGAATCAATGTATCTGATGTAGAAAATCGTGCAAGAATTTGATACATCTTCTGAGGTAATAGTTTAGCACAGCCTATAAATAGTATAAGTGCACGAAGTACATATAATACTCTACGAAATCAAATCAACTTCATCGGCCTCTACACTACACTGTAAGGAATTAAATTAGACTACCCGATCATTCAGTTCATTCCTATTCCTACTCATTTTGTTCATAATGCTCATAATCACTCTGTTTAATTAGGCTACGTAAATATTATTTGTAATTCAGAGCCTCTTAGATTTCACTATATTACTGGTCTCATCTTATCTATCCATCGCTTAATTGAACGCGATAATTACAGAGAATCTTTTCCTCATTTCAAAACTCCAAATTCTCTTGAATTTCAATTCTATTAAATCTTCGAGTTAATTCAGTCTTCAGTGAACCAAATCATAACTTCCAAAACTTCTTGCTCATTTTGATCAAATAATGTTTGTGCAGCTTCGAAAGCATTAGTTTTGAGATTGCTATCACTCATAGCATTTGTTTCCAAAACATCAAATGCCAATATTTTATCGGAAATCCAATTATCGAACTTATCAAATGAGATACCTCATTAAACTTACGACGATCGCGTGTTATCCTAGCACAATCAATACAAGAACATACTGTTTAAATTTACACCCGAGACTAGGAGATCAGAATTATCTTCAGCTTAGCCAGCAATGTGCAGGACTCAAGTACGGCAAAATACAGCATGTAATCGTACAGTAACAGAAAAAATACGGTATTGCATGATCGGATTGTCTCCATTTCATGAACCTTCAATTCCGTAAGTCAATCACAGATCAATTATTTTAACAAACTTTATGAATTTTTAAAATGCATAAATAATGTAATTTCAGAGTGAACAGCATAAAAAGAGAGCACGATTTATTTTTACAAGGCAATGCTTGCAAAATTTCCTTTAAAATCACATCGTAAACATACTGAGAATATCATAAGTCAGCTTCTAGAATCACAACTTTCACAGACCTGAAATTCGAAAAACTATGAAAAAATGAAGAAAAAATTAGAACTGAAAGCAAAAAATGTTAAAAGACAATATAAAACATCCTATAATCTGATTTCGAAAACTAACCTAAATTTTGAGGAAACAAGCATAAAATTCAATCTCATCGCTTTCTTTTTCAAAATTTAAAAATAATTATGTGAAAAGGAAAAAAAATATATACATACATTTATATCAGCAAATGGATCTTTGCGAAGTTGTTCAGCCGTAGCCCGTTTACTAGGCTCTATCTGGAAACACTGGTCCAAAAATGAATAACACGTTGAATCTGCTTGCACGCTCTGTGGTATTGTTGGCCTCATGCCACTACCAACACGAAAAACAACTTGTAGAACTTGTTCGCATTCATGCCATGGAGGCTGAAATTGGAAACTAATACCGTTTATTTACACTAATGTATTTCAAATCAAACTGAATTAAAAACATGAATCACTAATAAACTGATCAAAATTATGAAATTGCAAATGATAAGAACGAGGTTAAATTTCAGAACACGTGTTTTAACGATAGAACTGACCTTTCCAGTACACATTTGCAGAACAACACATCCAACACTCCAAATATCAGCTGCTCTACCATATCCAATGAGTTCCTCTTTACCGTTCACTTCTGTACGTCCGCCAAGTGTTTGTACTTCTGGTGCCATATAAGCCGGAGTACCTATCCATTCAGCTACTTCACCGCAAGCTGTTGTACCATCCTTCAATCGCACTGAACTTCCGAAATCGCCAAGTTTTAAAACATCCCTTTTCCCGAGGAATATATTTGCAGCTTAAAAATGTAAAACAACCTAAGTTTTTGCACAAATAATTTAAGATAGAGATAGCAGCACTAGCAGAAATATTTTACGTTTTATATCTCGATGAATGATCATTTTCATGTGAATATATTCGACTCCTTTTAATAAGAAATGTGTATATCGACGAACATATCGCATATCCAACAAACCTTCGCGACATACTTCTTCAAGCGTTCCTTCGGGGCAGTATTCCATAAAAATAAATAATTCTTCCTACAAGCATTGACGAGTTTTCAAAAACTGTCCTGATCAAAAAACTACGAAAAACTATTTCAATTTAAAATATACCCGATGAACTTCTACTGCATAATATTTGACCAAATTCGGATGGTCCAAAAGACTCAAATTCTCCACTTCATCAACCAAAGCCAACAACGCTCTGTCATTTCGTTCAATTCGAATTTGTTTCATTGCCATCAGACAGTTTTCAGTTAAATTCATTACTACATATACCGTGCCAAACTTTCCACGTCCTAAGAAGTGTAAATTATGTAAAATACATATAATAAAATCAATGAGACCTTGATCTCTGTGTGGCTTCTTCACAAATCCAACAAAAATTATCAATTTGACAACTTGATTACCCAGAAAATATGTTTTTTCTTTCTCGTTGTAACGCATACAGAAAAGCTTCACAACGTTAGTTATTGGTTTTTCTAAGACAATATATTTGTCAAACCTATCTTGACAGTATAAAATTTCACATGACAGTGTGTTCTTCCAAAATGCAATAAAATGAGCACAAAAAATTTTTTCTGAGACTTTATAAAATCCTTTTACCAATCGTTTTTTCTAATCGTTGCCATTCAAATGGTGCTCGTTTTTTCGGATTAAAATATGTTGACAGTGTTAAAGCCCTTCGGCCACCTTCCGTCACTCGACCAATCCTATTATCCGCCTTCAAAATTAAGCAAAACGAATTACTTTCCTTAAAAATTCTCCAGTAAATAATTAAGGTAGTTTAGAAAAATTATAACAATTGCGATACCTCGAGGTGTTTGTTACGCTTTTCATCAATGTTACGTAATAACTCATGAATTCTTTGAGAACGAGCTACAGAATCTGTCATTGTATATGGTTTAGATTTCGTATGACCACGCGAATTTCCACTATCCACCTCATAATCAAAAAAAGTTCCATTAATCAGTCCAGAATCTGGAAAAAGAAAAGCTTAATTATTCGTCATGAATGTAAATTTTATTGCGAACTAAGATCCAATCCATCATTTAGAAGCAATAACAATACCTGGAATACTGTTACCGATAACGTGCGCAACGCATGCGTTCACAATTTTCACCAAAGTCTGGAAAAAAAATTAAGTCAAGAATAATTGTATGGACATATACAAATCCATATAATTTGTTAATGCCCACTTCGATGAATATTTTTGAATCATTTATTCAAACATCCACAATATCTTTAACCTGTTTCCCAAAGTAATCCAAGAATATTGTTCTCCTATTGTTCATATATTACAGCACACGTTAACGAACAAAAGATGTTCTTTAGAAAAGATGATCTATTTTCTCAAATAAGTTAGATGAATCGATGAAGAAAAAACTATTACGAGTAACAAAATCTAACCTGAAATTCCTCGTCTGATAATGCTATGGTAAGTTCCGGACATACTGCCAGTATTAAGAACCGAAATGATTGCGTCGCCCACAGTGGAACAGTTCCGTCACTTCGGTTAACAAATTCTAACACGAAATGTAACCAATCCTTTGCCCAGCAAACTGTTTGCCAAGCAAAGGAGTGACGATTCTGTTTCGGTAATATATGGTAAAATTCTCGATGATACTGAAAAAAACAAGTCATAATCTGAATTATGAACAGATAGGATAAACAAATTTCCGGATAGTGAGAAAAAGCAAAAAAAAAAACCTCGAAAGCAAGATTGTACGCTTGTATGAGTGTAGCTCGAACGGATTCCAACTCATTAACATCGAGAGAGCTTAATTCTTGTCCATCTAACACATCCCTAACCATTTTACCAGCAAATTCATCAAATAACATTTGGCAAGTTTGATATGCAAGTTCCTGAAAGCTTTTGGACATTTTGGTGAGAATTTTACATATCAGAAAATTTATTAGCAATAGTCAGTGGATCATCTTATTTTGCAACCGACGAGAAATCCAAGCTCACTCTGAGTTGTTTTGCACTCTCAATGACGATATCATGACAGGAAGCTTGTTCTTCCAGTACATCAAACATGAAATCATATTCCATCGTCATATTTTTAGCAAATAATTCTCTCATTTTTGGCAATGACGGAGCACTGACTGCCACCAAGCATGCATCATTCGATAACTAAAATAAATTTTTTTAAGTCTCACAGCTAGAAAAAGAGAAGATAAGCTATAAATTAGCATAACCTCGTACTGCTCGGATTTTAGCTCCAGATTATATGTTACTTGATGATAAATAATACTGAGGTGATATCGTGGAACATAACGTGTATCACCACAATGCCTTACATAAGCATACCAAAATTTAAGAGTCTTCAAGGATCTAAGTAAATTATTTTATTAAAAAACATTATTTCTGAGGTTTGTAAACGGTCACTGATTCTAACCTGCAAGTAACGCAAAGAAAGCTCTGCATCTGCATCAAGATCAACCGTCAAACGTGTTCCGCACCACATTTCTTGAGAAAAGTCAGCAAAACATGTTCGACGTGAGATAATCAATAAATAACCGCTA